TTTTATCTGATTAATGCAGGCTAAATGTGCTCTCAGACTAACCCAACATTCATTCAATAAGTTTGAACTGCACGGTAGTATTTTTTTTCGTTTTTCTTTTCTCTACATGACTGCATCTTTTTGGGTCTTAAATTTAAATTTAGTCTTGCAAATGAGGAAACTTTGGGTGGTCCAGTGTTTTGGACGGCGAAAGGCTGACAAGGCCTGCCTCGCCTCGCGGCGAGGCGCTCGCCTTTTTGAATTGAGGCGCCAATTAATACCAAAAATTAAAAATATTTAATTGCATATATCCAAAATCTCAATAGCAATAACATATATTAGCAAATATTTCAATTCAAAAACTAATAGTAGATACTAAAAATCTAAAACCTAAAGACCCAATAATTCAAAAGACAATTGACAAATAAATACTATATTAATTAGTATAAAACTAAATTAATATAGAAGGATCAAATTATTTTTTTTAAATATAGACAGCAGTGAGCAGTCAGCACTCAGCAGTGGCCAGTGAGCAACAAAACAGAGCAGTAAACTACCACGAAAACAGAGCAGTGAGCAGACAGACTTAAGAAGAAGAAACTGAAGTAGAGAAAAACTGAAAAGAAGAGAAGAAGAAGAAGAAGAGAACTGACTGAAGAAGAAGAAGAAGAGGTCTTCGTAGTCATACCTGGCAGACACGACTCGCGCGAAGGAGAAGAGTAGAAGAAGCTCGAGTGCTCGACGATTCCGATAGAAGAAGTCACGAGTCACGACTGAATGAAAGTTTGCAGAAACCCTAATTTTGACTAATATTATTAAGTCGGGCCTTTTTAAAAAATAAAAATAAAAAAGGCGCCGCCACGCCTTGCCATTGCCATTGCCATATTGCCGCCATAGCTCGCCTATTTAATCTAGCCTCGCCTCACTGTAAATAGGCATAACAGCCTCGCCTCGCCTTATCGCCTTTGGCGAAAGGTGGGCGCCTTTCACAACACTGGGGTGATCATTTTGGTTTTGGTGATGCAATAAATAAGTTCAAAAGATGAACAAAATGGAGATACAACATTTTGTCACAGGCTATGGCCTATGAGGAAGGTCATGACACTTGGTCCTCCAATTTCCCAAAAATGAACAATATTCAGCCCATCTATCAGCCAAAGTTTTAAATTGGAATAAAACATGTCAGGGAAGGATTTTGTTTTATTCCAAATGTATTGAATCTATTTGACAATACTTCTCTCTTTTGGCAGTTTTATTCATAGTGGAGGGGAAATAGAATTTTGTTTTTTGTTTAGACTGCACAACTGGTGGAGTTACAACTCACACCTAAGATCTTTCTAAAGATACTGGGGATCTACTCCAAAGGCCATGTTCTATTTGGAGTAAAACTGCAAAATTAATCTCCATACAGATGGATGAGTTGTTAACAGCTCCATTACTGAAACTGATATTATAGCCAGAATGAAGAACAATCAAAGGTTCAAATCCCTTAGTCCACTTTTATAAATTTATGGATTCTTTTCTTTAGTGGTTTTTCCCATATTGTATACGAAAGAGAACGAAATAGCTTGGCTATCTCACCTACTCGAGCCAGAAAATGCATTAGATATAAAATTAAAAAAATGAATTGGAAGGAAAAAGGAAAAGACCAAACAATTCTATTTTTAGGTCAACTCCAATATGCATATGATTGGGATCAAAGTGAGTTCCAGTTCAACAATTGTATCTCTTGTCCCGTCAATAGTGATTGTTCACGGTAAGAACAAGTTCTAAATCATTGGACAAAGCAAAGTCAGTTACTTCTCGTCTTACCTTCAGATTGCATTCTGATAATGCAACAACCCCAGTGGCCTTCCACCGTTCAAGTTGGCTCTTCACAACAGGAACTTGAGGAACATCCCTTTTAGGTCTCATAGCTTCAGGCATCCTCCTCGCTGTGGGCAAGTTGGAAGCTTCCTTTCTTATTGGTCCATCCTATCCAATATACACAAATAAGCTTTAAGAAAGCAGAAGTTCAGGACCTAACTGGGATAAATTCAGTGGAATTTCTGGTTTTTCAATTTTACAAAAATTCGAAAGTCACAAGCACGGCTCAATCAATTACACCTCAATCCAAATCAGTTGTAGTCTCCTATATCTAAATATACATTCTACTCCGCGTAGCCTTAATTCATTCTAGTAATCAATATGTTATCCTTTAACACAACTGAGAAGCTTATCAATACTAGAGGCTCTCTCCATTTTCTAGTTATGTACAAATCCATAAACAAACTAAGTATAGTAACACATATAGGTACTAATCCCAAATAGTTATACTCAATAGAGTATAATGTAAAGGAAAATAAAGAATTACCCCTTGATGTAAGCCCTGGGAAGCCATAAGCATGATCTTCGCACCATTTCCAACCTCCGATGACTTCAATGTTATTTCATCCACCAAAACTTTCCCTATTCATGAAAAAAATTATGTCAACTATCAAATTCATTGATATTCAGTTCTTTGGAGCTCCGATTGTATACGAAATAATGCTGATAGGTTAGAATTGAAAGAAAAAATACCTTTGAAGATGAGTTTTTGGCCGCGAGAGAGGACATTTGTGAGTGGTTGAAGGAGAGACTTGAGGTGTTTGACAGTGGACTCGTCGGAGATTTCCACCGGTATCGATCGACCACTGAATTTAACATTCACTGTGATTGTACTCCGGTTATCGGCGTCACTTTTTCCCTCTTTCTCCATTTCTCTTTACTCGCCGCCGATCTCTGAATTCAAACAACAATTATTCCTTTTGACGAAATTATTTATCATTCCTTGGTGAAATGTAAATACTAGCAAAAGATTTTTTAGTATTAGTAATTATAGACATACTTCATTGATCATTTTCATTTTTTACACCGCCTATTAAGAAAATAAAAAGATAATTTAATTTTGACTTTAGCTAATATTTATGTAATTTGATAATATAAATAGAGACTTAAATTTAAACAAATAGAGACATGTTTTATAAGGCAATTCATGTCCTATATAATATTTTATGTGCATTATTCCAAGTAAAATTTATGTATCTATTTGTTTAATTTTATATAACTTTAAGTATTTACTGAAATCTAAATTACAAGTATGTTTATGTATTACTCCCTTTGTGTCTAATTACTTGTCCACTTTTTCTTTTTTAATTGTCTCTAATTACTTGTCCATTTTGACAAATCAAGAAAGGACAATTTTTTTATACCTATTATACCCTCAATTAATTACTTTCAAAAAGGTAGAACTTCTTGAAAATCTTAAATTTTGAATTCATCTACTTCATAATTAATATGGGTAAAATGGTAAACTCACTATATCAATAATTATTTTCTAAATAGATGTGTCAATTAAAAATGAACAGGTAATTAGGAGCCAAGGGAGTACAAACTTAATTATATTAAACACAAACTAACATGCCATGGATAATGTTACAACTTGTTTGGAGAAAAAAGCATTTTAGTTTACATATTAAAGAGTCATGGAATCATGGAGCTTTGGATTTAGAACCTTTTTAAATTTTTATAATTGTTCTATAGAACTTATGTATGTTGAGACTTTTGCAATTAGCACTCCGACATTAACACTATCATATAACATAATTGATATTATAATTGTTCTATATAATTTACCTTTCACTTTGATAACATGGCCATGAAATAAAGAATAAACAACAATATCAATAATAATCGATAATATTAATAAACAACAATATCAATAATTGATAATATTATGCCCGTTGGTTATAAATAGTTTTCACTTTTTATCGAAAACTTATTTGACCATAAAATCGTTTCAATTTTCAAATATTCAAAAACAATTCCGATAGGCAATGTATTTTTTTAATAATTTGATGCATATGATAATATTATGCCCGTTGGTGATAGATAATTTTCACTTTTTACCAAAAACTTATTGGAACATAAAATTATTTCAATTTTCAAATATTCAAGAACAACTCCAATAAACAATTTTCTTTTAATAGTTTGATGCATATTCCACGGCAAACTTTTTTTTTCAATTAGAATTAAATTAGTGAATAGCAAATTAGCATTTTACATCATATTACCATTATTACCAGTACATTTTAGGGCATGTACCAAAAGAAGATGAAATTAAAGAAAATTAAAAAAAAAAAAGATATTCCGTTGCCGGGACTTGAACCCGGGTCTCTCGGGTGAGAGCCGAGTATCCTAACCAACTAGACTACAACGGATTGTTGGCTTTGTACTTCCTCCCTTTTTATTTGTTTAATAATTTTAATTTGAGACGAAGTTTAAAAAAATAAAGAAAATTTTGGAATTTTGTTGTCTTAAATTAAAAATATGTCAAATATACCAAAATGTTCTTCAATCTTGTAGTATTAAACATGTTATATGAAAAGTTGAAATTAAAGAGTTATTGAAAAAATGAAGAGAGAAGTATTGAAAACACTCTTAAACTCGACGTGAGTTATTAGTTTCATTTTCAAACAACCTTTAAAACACCCTTTTACTTGAATAATTGAACTTAAATATACCTCCAATCTTGCAACATGAGTGAAATACACCTTTGAATTCTTGCCAAGTTTAGGGATGTTTACAACATTTTTCTCGATTTTTTATTAAAATCATGCTCTTATAAGAGTTTGAGACTACTTGTTATATATGGTATGTGACAGGTTAAAGATGTATCTAATTAAGTTTAGTTAGTCAAATAGAACGGTGTTTTTAAGTTTGAAATAGTTCAGAGACAAAACTAATAAAAAAATTATTCTTTTTAAAATTGACTAAAAAAAAATAAGTGATCAAACAAATTCAAACGGAAGGAGTATATTTTAATGTAGTGTTTAGATTGTATCAACATATTATCTTAGCTCAATGAAAACAAAATCCTCTTCTCAGGATCCTATTAATTAGAAACAAAGAACGAAATAACTAAAAAGTTGTTAGAATTCATCTTTTATAGAAAAATCACTTACAAAGCTATTCGTTTTATTCGTATTCAAGCCAAAATCTTCGATTCTTAAACTGAGAGAGATTTAAGAATTCTCAACATTTCTTAGATTTACAAAGGCAGTTCAATTCAATGAGATCCTTCATTAACTTTTTTTCCCATTAAGAATTCATCAAACCCCAAAACAGATCAGACATCAAGATGTTGAGTGCATTTCTTAACCATACAAGTGCTCCAAAAAATTCTACACAAGCAATGAGAATGATTTTAAAAGAACAATACATAGTTGATATTATCACTAACAACACAAGAAACTCATAACTCAAAATCAATCAGTCAAAAATTTCCCACTCCTGTGTGATTTTTGTGGATTGATTTGGTGCATTGAGGCTTCCAATTCCTGAATCAAACATTTCCCATTTGGTATTCACCATTGAAATAGTACCAATACAATTCCTAGCAATGCTAGAGCTTCTTGCTTTAAAATTGTCAATCATATCAACAAAACTCTGAATGCGATGAACCTGTTAGGAGACGAAAAACTTGTCGTTAGAGACATGTGTCATTTCAGGATTCACTTTTGCGACTCAGAGCATTTAGTGTTTAAATTTTGAATCTGTCATGACCTACTCAAGAAGGACATTACATTTTACTTTTCTTTGAAACTAAAGTTTGATGCATCATTTACGGCTTGTTTGGATGGTTGTTACCTATTATATTGTGTTATTAGTTTTAATAACACTATTTGTTTTGATTATTTATTAAATTTTATTGTACAGTATCGTTAAATCCATTGTTAGGTAGCATTGAAAAGTCCTATTTTGTGTGACAACTGATTTGGTAGGATCGAGTTGTTATCCTTATTTTTTTTATTCTCATTTTATCATTATAAATTTATGGTCAGACGTTAGCTTAATACTAACTTTTGTGAGCTATGCACCTACTAACCTCCTTTCTCCTTTGAGTTTTTGCTTCTCCTTCTGCTTCAATGCTATCAAGTGTAAGAAGTTGAATCATGAACAACTCTGTTAGGACAACAAATTCTCTGTCCTCAACTTTGGTACCTCTTTGCACAGCTTCCTCTATGGCCACAACCTACAATAAAAGCAATAGACTTATATAACCAAGTTCGGGAAATTCTTTTCAAGTCTTTTCCCATGAAAAAATTGACGAGTGAGTAAGATGTCAGTCTTGTTTGGTAAGATAGAATTGGACAAAGAATAGAGAGTGCTCGATCAGACCTAGCCTAGTAGAGCCATTGTGTCTTAAAAAGTCTAACCCTCCACCAAACAAAGAGTTACCCTTCAACAACTCATCTTACATAATATAATGTGGCACCACTTGTAATTTTCTTTAAAAAATCACAATTTGCCACATGGTGAAAAATATCGATTATTAAATGATTTTTTTTTTTAAAAAAAAAGTGATGGCACGTAGATAGTATGTACATATACATAGTTGAGTTATATTTTTTCATTATCAAATTAATTATGACTTTGATACAATACACTAAAAGTTGAATGATCATCAGTAAAATTTGCGTACCCTATGTGAGAGCTTATCGACCTCTACTCTTACTCGGGCGATGGCTTCAGAAGAGATAGAGGTATCCTGAATTTTCTTCAACTCTTTGCTGGCTGGATCTTCCATTAGGATCACCTTTGACATGTCTTTTACACCAGAAATGTGTAAGCATTCATTCTCATCCTTTTCTTTTCCTTGGAACAATAATCTCTGGACATTAGGATGTAAGCCAGTTGTGTCACAAAGAATTTTCTTCAAGTTCCCTTTATTTCATTAACATAAAAAATTAATTAGGTCACAAATTAAGAAGAAAAAAATAATTGACAGGTCACAAGTTTGTTTTGAGTTTAACTTCTATATATGGATAATACAAAAAAAAAAAAAAAAAAAGCCTTTCACTATTAGGTTATTTAAAAAATAACTACAAGAGTTGAGGGGTAGCTCATTAATTTTCATGTGTTAGTACATGAATTTTTATGAATATGGCTGTAAATGTGCCTTCTATGCTCAATTGAAATTGGTGTTTTACTTAAAATGACTATGTTGGTGGCTGTTGGTCCTTTTGTGGGAGTCTACTATCTAACCAAAAAATAAAACATGATAAATAAACATGACCCTTAACTTGGCGTCAGTTGGTAACTATGACTTTTAATTTTGGGTGTACATAAGTAGGCACTTAAACTTGTATAAAATTGAACAAATAGACACATTTGTCCTACATGACTACCTACATGACAATTTTGTGTCCTACGTGGCATCCTACGTGTATTATGCCATGTAAAACACGTGTGTCTACTTGTTCAATTTTATACAGGTTTAAGTGTCTACTTATGCACACTCAAAGGTGGAGGGCATGGTTGTACGCTGAAGTCAAGTTAAGGGTCATATTTATGTATTATGCCAAAAAAAACTGAACTTTGAATAGTCATCATAAATTAACTAGTTTTATGCTAGTCATTGACCTACCATAACACTCCTTTATCCATAGTTGAAATCGGCAATATGAGCAAATTCACATAGGAGGAGCTCTTAGTTATAAAAGAGCAGTTTGATGCAGAAAATATTCTGATCCGTATTTATGCAGGATTCGAAAAAGGAACACATCCAAGGGTGTGTGATGTAGTATTGTAGGTAGTCTATCCTGACGCAAACATCAATAGCTAATTCTACAATTTGAACCCGTGACCTAAAGGTCATACGCGGACAACTTTAACATTGCTCCAAGCAATGATTAAAAAGAAAAGCAGTCTAGTGCAATAAGTTCCTACTATGCACGGAGTCAGAGAAAGGACCGAACCACAGTCCACAAGGGTCTATGTCCAGTCTTACCTTGCATTTCTGCAAGAGACTATTTTCATGGCTCGAAACTCATGACCTATTGATAACATGACAATAACTTTACTAGTTACGCCAAAGCTGTCTTTTAACTATGATCAACAATATCAAAAGTACAAAAAATTAGTGGTTTACCAAATGTTGATTCAGCAGGAACAACAACATCATGGTAACAAGAATCATAAGAGACTTTGATCTTGATCATAGGGCCAGCAACATAATTTTCCTCAGCAGAAATTCCAACTCTTTTCTGAACTAATAAACCTCCAGGCCTAACTTCCCAATCAATAATACAACTCTTTTTTTCCTCTTCAAACTCAGTGAATTTATAATTCTCATCTTTTATTATCTCATTCTTACTTTTTGAAGAAGTTGATGATTTTTTTCTCATGTTTTTTCCACAAAAAAAAAAGTAAAATGAGAAAATATTAAAAAGGTGAGAAATTGATTGAGAAATTAAAGTTTGGTGGTGAATTGAGTGAAGACCATAAATGAATGAGACTTGAAAAATGAAAAAAAGGCCTTTGTACTCACTTTGATGAGGACTACTGGAAGGTGACTTGTCAACTGACTATGTTAACATGGAATAAATAAACATATACTCAAATTTAGCCTCGATAAGTAAGCAATTCAATTTTGAAAGTGCATATTTAAACATTTTTGTTTGATCTCAACTAACAATTAAATACTTTGACTCATCTTCAATACATCTAGTAGACATTCTATGTTGACACACATAAATTTTAGAGGTATGCCACAAGGTTATCCGAGTTCACAAGTGTTGTTGTGCTTATCCCTTTCTACATTAAAATAGAGTTGGTGTTCAGTGTATCCACCTACACATAGATGATTATTTTATAAGCTGGAATATTCAACTGATACAAAGTGAGATCATGAGTAGAAATGTCTCGATGTGTATACTCACCGTTAGAGTGTTTACTTATTAGTTGAGATCTGCAAGTTATAAGTATTTATTTATGTATTAATACATTTTCTTTTTTTCTTTATTTAAAATAAACTTCAAGTATCCTTAATTAAAGATTTCGAATTCAAGTTCTGAGTATGAAGTTCTTTTTGTGGAGAATAAGTATTTTCTTTTTAAATGAGCTTTGCAAAGTAAATTCAAATTAATCGGAATCTCACTATGAATATCAATAAAGGAGGGAAAAAAAAACCATAAAACAAATAATGTAGATACTATTCTTGATTAAATTAGTGAATTTTCTAGGGGTGCCTCTCAAATTTTGCCACACAGTACATATTAAAGTATGTAGGCCCTTTATGATTAACTAAGGGTGGGTCAATGAGGTAGAAATAGGCCCTACTGGTCACTTTTTGATCTTGTATTTGAAAAATAATCTCGATACTAAAATTATGCTCATGAATTTTGAATTTCAGAATAATACTATAAAATGATTGAAATTTCTTAGTTGAAACTAGAGCTTTAGGAAAAGAGAAGTTCCTCTTATTGAAAAATCTTGCAAATTTTCCTTGTTTCTTTTTCTTTTCGAAAATAATATTCAGAGAACATCTTATTTATTGAACTCAAAATACCAAATGGGCCAACACAGAGATTTTTCGTTTGGTTTGAGATATTGAAAACTAATAAAATAATTTTGCATAAAAGAAAAAATAATTTATGCATAATGTTCTTTAGTAGCTAACAGATTTTTTGTTGAATTGAAGTTGACTGTAATTAGCTGCGAACTTTGTTGTCAATATGTCGTTAAAGTACTTGTAGCTACTAATTTTTTTGAATAATATGTCATTAATTCGTTAGCAGACCAAAAAAGTATAACTTACATAAATTCATAGTTTTAATATGAAATTACAATATATCCCTCATTAGTCTGTAATTACATTAATCCCTTAAAAAAGTAACACAAATAGAATACATAATATGTAGCTCGAATACATTATAACATAAACCGGATACATAATATGTAGCTCGGATACATTAAATACTGGCTCGGATACATTAAGGAAATAAGAAATTTTAGAGGTTTTTAGAAATAGAAGGGGATATTGGAAATAAGAAAAACATAAAACATGTATTTCAGTCATTTTTCCAAAAAAAAATTAGACACGAATTTTATTGTTCAGAGACCTTCCTTATTGGCATCTTAGGTCTACGAATTTGTACTTAGAGTCTGTTTGGACTGACTTAAAAGTTGATTAAATCTACTTTTTAAATTATTTTTAGTTTTTGGGAGTGTTTGACAAAGTTAGAAATAACTTAAAATAAGTTTAAAATGATTTTTAAAAATAAAGTTAAAAACTAAAAAGGACTCCTCTTACTTCTTTTTTTTTACTTAAAAATCATTTAAGATTTGACTTTTAATTTTCCGAGTTAAAAATTATTATTTTTAATATAATTCAAACGGACTCTTAATCTGCCAAGTATACAACAATAGTCCTTATAAATTTATTATTAATTCTACGTCTTTTTTTATATTAAAAAAAATACACCCAAAAAACTTTGCAACATTCTTTTCCATCTTTTATTCAAACAATAATAATAATAATAATAATAATAGTAATAAGGAGTTCAATTAACTCATTTCCATCGTAGGTAGCTCTTTGAAATATCTTAAATATAAAAAAATTATTTAGTATAGTTGAATCCACAAGCTAGTTCTTGACCTGAGGATTCAAGGTAAACAATATACTTCCTATATAACATGAAATAATTTGAAACGTAAAATCACTCAACTCAAGATCGATGATGTTGGAACCGATAAAGACTATAACAAATATATACAAGACAATTTGCTAATACTAAGAATATGAATGACCAAAGTATATATAATGAAGAACAAAATTAAGATATATGTAGTAATGAAATAATTTGAAGTTCTTCCCGTATGTATTTAATTTCATACAGTATATAACAAGAGCAGATTCATGCTGATTCAACTAATTTACCTTAAATCTTGGATTCGCCTTTGTCAATCACAATAGGAGATCGACAAATCGGACATGTAGAATGTGAATACAACCACATATCAATACACTCCACATGAAATGCATGGCTACACTTAGGTAATTTTCTACAAACATCTTCATCTTCTAATAAACTCAAACAAATTATACATTCCAACCCCTCATTACTTTCTTCTTTGTATACAAACAAAGGAATCGAAGAAATCATCGATCTTTCGAGACCCTTTGTTGGCAAATTACTAGCAAAGTTAGTATTATCAACAATATTGAAGGAATGAAAATTATGAAAAGGGGAAGAGAGTGAATTTCGAGTACTCCTTCGTCGAGTTTGAACCAAGAACCATTTGGCATAAATGTGTAGTAGTAAAATAAAGAGAATTACTAAAAGAAGTGATATTATTGCTGCTAGCATAATGTTGCTATTATAAGATAGGATATTATTGATGATGTTCTTTAGTGAGTTAAAAGTAATTTGTGGAAATGGAGGAGGAGAAGAAGAAGAAGAAGAAGTGAACATTTTGGTTAAGTGAGATGGGGTGATGAGAGAAGTGAAACCAAAGAGGGTTTTAATATGTATAAGCTTAAAAAAATAGAGATGCTAGAATATGGTAAAGATTTATGAATAAATATGTGGATTTAATAATATTCTATATGGTTTGTTTTATGTGTCTTTAACTTAATCGGACATAAAGTTTAAGAATATAAAAAAGATTTTCATTTTGTTGTTTAAATTAAAAGTACGTATAAGTTATAACATGTGTGTTCAGTCTGGAGCTTCTTTTTTTTAATGTACGGTTGATAAAAAAAAAATTGAAAATATTTCTTTAGGAAAACAAGTTTCTTAAAAATTAGGTAAATGACTTTCCTAATGGAAGCAGGAAAAAACAAGTTCTATAAGTATCATTTTACATTGATTGTGTTTTTGCCATCTTCTAACACACTTCATTTTCAAACCTCATAGCCACTATCATCACCACCATCGTCCATAGTACGTATTTGTTTAGTTATATATAAATGAATTTAGGATATAATATCTTTTTTTACATATTGAACATAAGTAAATAAGTAAGAAACGACTCACTTATTTTTCTAAAAAATATTTACCCTCGACCGAACACACCCAACATATATTCACATTTTAAAATTTTGTTTCTAAAAGAATATATCTTTCTATATTTAGTAGTAATTCTCTATTTTCATCATTTTTTACGTGTCTTTTTTTAAGATCACAACTCAGAAGATTCATAAATATTTTGGTACAATTAATAAAATATATCTTTCGTTTAAAACATAAACTTCAAAAATCTTTATTTTTTTTTTGTTAAAAAAATCATATCTAATTAAACTAAAACGTTTAAATTAAAACAACTTAAAATTATTTATTTCATTCACAAGTCAAAGGAGAATACCTTGGTTCAAGGAACTTAGTAGAAATAGATGCATGAGAAAGTGTTGAAAGCACAGTAAAAAGGGGGCCAGAAATAAAGGTCTCGTGAAGGGAACGGCAGTGCACTGTGGGAATGATTATATATAATACTATATATAGTTTATTTTGTAGTACTATTTAATTATTTATTTTAGTGCCAATAGAAGATCCCAATATGTCACATGTATCCCAAGAACATCTTTTATTAATTTGCTTGTTTGTAAGTTTGAAAATGCAACAACTGAATTTTGAAGTATAGTAATTAATTATATGTTGTGGATGAATATTTAAGTGTACATGGTCGTACTATTAATTACTATATATGTCTTAAAATATACAAATATAAATAACGGAAACGTTCGATAGTTATTACTATTAGAGTGAGTTATACAGAATCTTGCATCAGTTTCGAGTTAAATTAAAGTGTGATTTTTTATTGTTATAACTGACTAAATAAAATGAGTGCATTGCAAGGCTCGACAAGTTTATTCCTTTGCCTCAGCAACGCATAACTTGAAATATAGAATTTGAAATTTCAGAAACAGTTTTATAAAGTTTTACTATCAAAATTTCGATGAATTGTATTTTCATGTCTGAACACAATTTCAACCTCTAAATACCTTTTACTTCACTTCACTTCAAATCCTTTTTATTTAACAAATTTCAACCAAATCATACTAAAATTCAATTACATCCATATCTATAAATATGTATAGTAGGTTGATATAGATCCAATGATCTAAAGAGTTGGGAGTGTAGTATAACTTATTATTAGCTTCATAGATCCCACGTGAATATGTGGTAGAGAAGACAGATATACTATTAATTAAGTTTACACATGATATTTTTTAAAAGTTTCTAGTCCACTATTGAATATTTATGTTAGAATCTGACTAAATTAGAATTTGAGTATTGTAGATTCATTTCTGACAACAAAAAAATCATACATGTGATTTAAACTTTTAAAAACGAAGGAATATAATCATCGATCCTATCACAATTCAGATAGGTTAGATTCTATATATGAACCACTACTTATTTAGCCCTTATTTTGGGGGTGACTATATATATGTATGTTCCACCTTTTCTTGCATGTTTTAAGTAAAGCACAATCTAGTTTCCACT